CCTGTTTGCTGGCATACAACTCTTTGTAGTAATTTCTGATGACTCTTTTTATTTCTGTGGTGTCTGTTATTACATTCCCTTTTTCATCTCTGATGTTATTGACTTGGGTCTTTTCTTTTTTTGGTTAGTTGGGCCAATGATGTTTTGATTTTGTTTATTGTTTTCAAAAAACCAGCTCTTCATTTGGCTGATCTTTTGTAATGTTTTTTGGATTCAATTCTGTTTATTTTTTTCTCTAATTTTAATTATTTCTCTTCTACTAGTTTTGGGTCTGGTTTGCTGCAGTTTTTCTAGATCTTCTAGCTAAAGGATGGCTGGCACAAGGTCACAACAGAGAGGAGGGTGTGGGTTTTTATCCTTTTTAAAGTTATTTGAGAGGCATAGAGAGAGAGACAGACACAAATACACAAAAAGGAGCTAGTATCCACTGGTTCACTCCCCTAGTGGCTAAAACTGCTTGGAATGGGCAAGGCTAGTAGTTGAGAGCTAAATCCATGTTTCCTACATGAGTGGCAGGGACCCATCTACTTGAGCTGCACCTGCTGCTTCACGGGGTGCACTTCAGCAGGAAACTGGAGTAAAGGAGTGGAGATGGGACTTGAACCTAGCTACTCTGATAATGGGATACAGGCAATTGAGTAGCATCTTAACAGCTAGATCAAATGCCTGCCCCTAGCTATTTTTTTAGTGAAATAAATTTTCACTGTTAAAAAAACAATTTAATATGACTAATTTTATAATTTCAAATCAAAGGCTTTGGTAATATATGTAAATACAGATAAAAACATGATGTCTCTGGGTAAATTTTCTCAATGTTTTGTCAGGAAAAATTGTAAAGGTACATATATGTATATGAGAATACTTCAAAAAGCTTGTAGAAAATGGAATTAAAAGATAAGTTGAATTTGGTGTTTCAGAAAAATTTGAAATACTTGCATAGTATTTTCACAATAAACATCTTTTGTAAATATTTTGAAGGCCCCTTGTATACATGGATTTTAAAAGTTTCTGTACTGGGCTGGCACTGTGGCACAGTAGGCTAAATTTCTGCCTGTGGTGTTGACATCCCGTATGGGTGCCATTTGTGTCCCAGCTGCTCCTCTTCTGATCCAGCTCTCTGCTATGCCCTGGGAAAGCAGTGGAGGATGGCCCCATGTGCTTGGGCCCATGCACCCCCATGGGAGACCTGGAAGAAGATCCTGGCTCCTGGCTTCAGATCAGGTCAACTCCAGCTGTTGTGGCCATCTGGGGAGTGAACTAGTAGTTGGAAGACCTTTCTCTCTGTCTGTCTCTCTCTCTCTGTAACTCTGTCCTTCTAATAAATAAATCTTTAAAAAAAAAAAAAAAGTTTTGCCAAAGTATAAATTTAATTCCACTTTTCCTTTAGGTACCTTTTTGTGTGTGTGTGTGTGTGTGTGTGGTTAAGTTTGTCAATCTCAGCTTAGAAGCATAGAAAGAATAAGTTCTATAGTAAGACAGCCTAGCTCCTGTTATTTAATAGAGGGTGCTCTTTGGCAGGTTATTTAACTCTTTAGATTTTTCACTATAAAAGCACTGAATGCTGCTGCTTACCTCATAGAGTTACAGTAGACATTATATATGTAAAGCTTTTAGCACAAAATCTGATAGGAATAGTGTAACTGTCATAGGTATCTTATAAATGCTGTTACTTACTGAAATAATTACCAATTTTATTTCTTAAAATCTATGCTGGAACTATAGGTTGTGATAATAGATGAATTGCATGTCAAGCTCTGGTCAATAAAAATGAAGGCACAGTGCTTCAGATAATTGATTATAGATTTTATCCTATATAGTCATTTAATACAAGTTTTCCTAACTGAAGTGCTTTAGTTGCATTCCATGTGTTTTTACATGTTTCATTTCCATATCACTTCAGTCCCTTATCATTTCTTTTTGGATCCTGGGTTGTTAGGTATGTTGTTTAATTTCTTAATATTTGGAAATACCTTTTATTACTGATTTCTCACTTAATGCTGTTGTGTTTAGAAAATGTTCTCAGTGTGGCTTCATTATTTTTAAGTTTTCTTCACTTTTTAGGCTTTTTTTTTTATAAGGAATATGGTTTTCCATAATATATAACCTTGTTATATAATCTTGATATACTGTCTCTTTTATCCTTACAAAGTTCCATCTTTGCCTCTTGTCTGATATTAAAATAGTCACAGCAGCATTTTTATGCCTGTTCTTTACATGTTGTCCCTGTTTTTCAGCCTTTTACTGCTTGTTTTTATCTGTTTTTAAAGTAAACCTCTAGGGGAAAAATAGTTATTTCTTAATCTCTTGGTGTATTATGCCATCTTACAATCTATTTCTTTTAATTATTTTTTTGATAGGCAGAGTTAGATAGTGAGAGAGAGAGAGAGAGAGAGACAGAAAGAAAGGTCTTTCTTTCCATTGGTTCACCCCCCCAAGTGGCTGCTACGGCCGGCACGTTGTGGCTGGCACTGTGCTGATTCGAAGCCAGGAGCCAGGTGCTTCCTCCTGGTCTCCCATGCGTGTGTAGGGCCCAAGCACTACACTCCTGGGCCAGCACAGAGAGCTGGACTGGAAGAGGAATAACCGGGACTAGAACCCAGGGTGCCGGCACCGCAAGCATAGGATTAGCCTAGCGAGCTGCAATGCCAGCCACAATCTATATTTTGATAGGCTGCTTTGTTTATTTACAAATGTATCTGTACCTTCAAATCATAGCAGTATACTTAGTTTTAAAATTGAATTATTTAGGTAATTATAGGAACCTTGAAATTTTATGTTTACATCTACCCCCTTATTCTTGGTTTCCTTGCATGCTACATTCCTGTTTGTATATATATTGTGGTCTTATTTTCACATGTTTTATATACGTGTTGTGAATCTGTGAATATACTGTTTATATTTTGCCTTATAGAATTTCAAAGACATTAGGAACTGTAAAGATATGTAGTATTTAATATTTATCCTCATGCTTGGGTTTTCTGGTTAACTTCTTGTCTTTCCAGAAATCAGTTATTTCCTTTGAAACTGAAGAATTTCCTTAAAGCTCTTTTTAGTATATTATACAGAACTGCTAGCAATTAATTTTCTTAGTTTTTTATATTTTTTTATAAATGCACTTTTGTGTCTCTTGCTACTTTTTCTCATGGAGAGCTTCATTGAATATAGAGTTCATAGTTTAAAGGAAGTTTTGCTGAACTGATTCTTTTTTTAAGATTTAGTAATTTATTTGAAAGAGAGCAAGCGAGAAGGCAGGCATAGAGATCATCTATCCATTGATTCACTCCCCAAAATGGCCACAGTGGCTAGAGCAGGGCCAGGCCAAAGCCAGGAGCCAGGAATGCCATCTGGGTCTTTCACATGGATGCAGGGACTCAAGGACTTGGGCCATTTTCCACTGCTTTCCAAGGCACGTTAGCAGGGAGCTGGATCAAAAGTGAAGCAGCCAGGACTTGAACTGGCACCTATATGGGATGCCAGTAGTGCAGGCCAGAGGCATTACCCCCCATGCCATAATGCTGGCCCCTGAACTGGTTCTTATTATTGAAAAGGTCTCAGGTTCTTTTTATATTTCTTTATTTCTTTGTGTTTTTCTTCCTGTTCTTTGGACTGGAAAATTTATATTGTTTATAAGTCAGTTTCACTGAGTTTTTTTCTGTCCTCTGTAATGTGCTTGAACTTACCTAATTTTTATCATATTCATTCTTTTCAGCCCTACTATTTCTATTTTTGTTTGTAAGTTTCTGCCTTTTTGGGGGGGAGTTTCTATTTATATGCTCAACAGTAGTCTTAATTTTTTGATTACTTTTAGTGAGTATATTCTTTTACATTCTTTGAGGATTCTTTGGAATTTAGTTTTGTATTTAATAGGTTTGTGCTGTTGGGTTTGTGAAGTCATTTTCTGTGAAGTTATTATCAAAGATTTGTAAAATTTAGAATTATAAAATCAAGCACTTATATTTAATTTTGCAAAATGAGTTTTATAAATCAAACTAATCACTTGGAGTCAATCCATGTATAATGTATCAAAGTTAAATTATGATTATGATTTATGAAACAGTTTTAGTACCCTCCATGTATGGTGTTAAGCTTTGTATGTGCTTGGATTAATCCTCCCGATAGCCTTAATATACAGTTTGGAAATTTAGAAAATTACTTTTTTTTTTAAGATTTATTTATTTATTTGAAAGAGTTACACAGAGAGAGGAGAGGCAGAGAGAGAAAGAGAAAGGTCTTCCATCCGATGGTTCACTCCCAAATTGGCCACAACGGCCGGAACTGCACCGATCCAAAGCTGGAAGCTAGGAGCTTCTTCCAGGTCTCTCACCTGGGTGCAGGGGCCCAAGTACTTCGGCCATCTTCTACTGCTTTCCCGGGACATAACAGAGAGCTAGATGGGAAGTGGAGCATCCGAGTCTCAAACTGGCACCTATATGGGATGCCGGCACTTCAGGCCTGGATGTTAACCTGCTGCGCCACAGCACCAGCCCCGAGAAAATTACCTAACATAAGTTAAGCTAGTAAGTTGAACTGTAAGATGTGCTCAATCTTTCTGACTTCAGAGTCCTGACTTTTTAGATCCATGTTGTCCTGCCCTTTTTTGTTTTTGTGTGATTTTGAAAGATTTCTTTTTGTAAACTAACTCTATCTAGCTTTTAAGATTGTTCTGTTTTGCCACATTAATACTGATACTTTAGAGTGTGACTGGCCAGTGGTTTAAATGACAAAATGTGTCTATGTTCAATTGTTTAACAACTTTATGTGTCTAGTCACTTTATGTAATCTTAATTTTTTAAAATTCTAGACTTTGTTTTCAGGATTATATTTTGATAATAGAAGTTTAAGCAATGAGTGTTTTGTGGTATTTATTTGACAAACTTTGTTTCTTTAGGTAAAGCAATTTAGGGGTTCAGATTGAACTAGGGTTGTTTACTTTCTCACTGCATTTTTCCTTTAAATCTGCCAGAATTTTCTTTGCAAAATACAGATGTTTTGTTTTTCAGAGTGGAAAAGTGACTGGTAGTGATTCAGGTGGTGTCATTGACCTCACAATGGATGATGAAGAGAATGGAGCTTCACAAGGTACTTCAGTAGTAATCATATGAAGGAATGCTTTGATACCAAGTTTTCCTTTTAACACGGTACAATATTCATTGAAGACAGATCTCTGTAGCATTATTCTTGGTGTATTTGTACAACAATGAGAGTTTTTCAAATTGGAATTTAAAAATGGAAACCAAATCTTGATGATGTATGTACTTGGACATTGAAAGGTGTAGAGGAAAAAAGCAGTGAAGAGAATATTTACTTTATGAAACAACTTCGGGTTTTATACCTATCTTATTTGATCCTTGTGTAATACTTATTTTAGAATTGAGCAAATGTACTAGCCTAAGAGATGACAAGTCAGTTAGTACAGGACTCGGTGATCAAATCTTGGTCCTCTGATTCTGCATTAAGTGTTCTTTCTCTCTTTCCATGTATGTTTTAATATAGATACTTACAAGTGTGTATATATTTAATTTTGGTTACTTGCATTAATTCTTTTATTGTTAATCTAAATGAAAATGGGTGTAATTCTAAAAAGCATTCACAACCAGAGTCTTCAGTTTTCTTCTGTTTTACAAATATTTAGAAACTTAATTCAATAGATATTAAACATTTTCTCAGTTATTCTCTACAGTAATAATTGATAAACTTGGGAAATGTTGAGTTAAAGTGACTTGTTTTTAAATTAATTCAGACTTTTTGAACCTTTTCTGTGCAACTCCATAGTGTAAATCTCTGAGAATGATTCAAAATATAAAATATTTCTCAAATTTACTTGTACACACTAACTTTATTACAGTCAATTTTTTTTAAAATTTAATTTTTTGACAGGCAGAGTGGACAGTGAGAGAGAGAGAGAGACAGAGAGAAAGGTCTTCCTTTGCTATTGGTTCACCCTCCAATGGCCGCTGCAGCCAGCACACTGCGCTGATCCGATGGCAGGAGCCAGGTGCTTCTCCTGGTCTCTTTTGGTGTGCAGGGCCCAAGCACTTGGGCCATCCTCCACTGCACTCCCTGGCCACAGCAGAGAGCTGGCCTGGAAGAGGGGCAACCAGGAAAGAATCCGGCGCCCCGACCGGGACTAGAACCCGGTGTGCCGGCGCCGCTAGGTGGAGGATTAGCCTATTGAGCCGCGGCGCCGGCCATGGGTGTATCTTTAAGACTATTGTGATAATATGAAAAGTCTGGTAACATCAGGTGGTTTTTAATATTTTAAAAATATAACATTTTTAGAAAAAAATTTAAAAGTTTTATTTAGGGAATAACTTTATGTCTTAGGAAAATAAAACTAAATACTCATATAGTCGGCTATGAGACAGTAAAATTAATTTTGTTGTGTAAAGTTGGGAGATTTCTGTCATCCTTCATCAGTTTGAGCATACACTGGTATTATTTGAAAGTTTTAAATATGTATGTTGCTTTTACTACTTTTCTTATAGGCAGGTTTGATTGTAATGGATCCCTAGAGGACAAAAGTAAATATAGATTATATTTGAGAGGATGAAGGTAGTAGTGCTGGTTCTGGATTAGAAAGTAAAGTAAGCAAACTTTGTTTTCAGTGTTCTTGCCATTTTCCTTTCAAGTGTCTGCCTTTCTAGAGTTTCTCCATTGCCCTGCCTTTGGGGGAGTATTGAAATTATCCCTTTTTAAAATACATTGTTTCTCTTTCTCTCTCTCTCTAACTCTGACTTTCAATTAAATAAATTTCAAAATAAAATCAAACACATTGTTTTCCAGTAGCACAGAATTAAAGTATTAGTTGGCAAACCATTAAATTCTGTTTACATTTTTTTGTGGAATTCCATATTACAGAAATTGATAGGGATCATTTTAGATAGAAGAGCTTTTGACTTAACATCATTCATATTACATACTGTCTACTGATTTGCTATTTTTAAGGGTTTTGTCAGAAAAGCAAACATCTATTTCATAGACTGTGGAAGACTTCTGAGACTAGCTTTCTGTGTATATTTTATTCATAAGCTTGATGTTACCAAACAAGAACCTAAATAACAGAATAATTGAAATCCAAGATGTCAGAGAAAACTGCATTAATTTATAGGTATTTGTTTAGGAGAATTTCCTTGATACAGATCTATAGATATGTACATACATATTTTGTGCAAGCAATGAAGTTATTTTAGTTAACATATTGTAATGAATCTAGAAGATTCTTTTATAAAAATAAAGCATAAAACTGAATTCCTATAATGTCAATTAAAATCTTTGATAGAAGCAACAATAAATTAGTTAAGCTCTTGATTTGATTTTGAGATGATACACATAATTAAAATAAAAAGAAATTGTTCTTTTAGGGGTAAATGTGGCATCAAGTGGTAGCAAAAGTAAAATTAATTCATAAAGGAAAGGTCTATACTTTCTAATTTTTTTCTTTCATTAATCATAATATTCACTTTGAATTGACAGATCCCAAAAAGCTAAATCATACTCCTGTATCAACCATGGGTTCTGCTCAGCCTCTATCTCGACCATTGCAACCCATCCAACCAGCACCACCTCTTCAGCCATCTGGGGTACCAACAAGTGGACCATCTCAAACAACAATACACTTGCTACCTACAGGTAAATTTCCTAAATCATTGACCCAAAGATTTAGTTTCACCTGCAGAGAACTGTGACAGTGGAATGGAGTGGAAAGATTAGACAAAAAGTTAAAAATAATTGTTAATTCTGATGACAATACATGTCCTTTGAATGCAGGGCAACTTTTTTTTTGCTGACAGTTTTTGAGTGGCAGCACTGGTAGAGAATGATTATAAAGAAGACTGTAAACAGAAATTAATGTAGTTCTCTGCCAGGGATGTGTATAATAATTTGTCCTGAGTATATAATGAAGAAGATATAATTGACTGATCAAGGATTTTAAAATGATTCTTATCTTGAACTAGTTTCAGCTGTCCTAACACACCATCAGAAAGGATGAGCTAATATTGCTACATTGCAAGAAGCTGTAAGTCATATTTTCAAGGTGTATCCTGTACCTTCTAAGCTGTTTAGAAATCAAAGAAGACATGATTCTCTCTAAATAGTCAGTTATTACTAAGTAAAGCATTAGGGGCTGTGTTATGTGTGTGTCTTTTCATTCATGTAAAGTTATAATGACAGTCACCTAATTTAGATATTTTAGATGGAAATGTCATTATGCAAACCCATGGGCATCATTGATAATGGAATGGGAATAAAGAGATGAGGTGAGTGAGTGCTCCTCCTAGATTCTCTTTGCTTTTCCTAGGGCTCACATGGAAAATTTAGGGTTATGCAAAGATGGCTCATGATAAGAGCCTCGGGTGATTACTGACATCATAAATAAGAATGTCAATTGTTAAATTAACAACAGGAGTCACTGTGCAATTACTCCCCATGTAGGATCTCTGTTCTTAATGTGTTGTACTATGAGAATTAACAGTAAAACTAGTCTTAAAACAGTACTTTATATTTTGTGTGTCTGTGTGGGTGCATTCTGTTGAAATCTTTATTTGGTATATACTAAATTGATCTTTTGTATATAAAGATAATTAAAAATGAATCTTAATGAAGAATGGGATGGGAGAGGGAGAAGGAGATGGGATGGTTTGCGGGTGGGAGGGAGGTTATGGGGGGAAAAACCAGTGTAATCCAAAAGTTGTACTTTCGAAATTTATATTAAATAAAAGTTTTCTAAAAAAAAAGGATTATGCAAAAATTGAGAAGTCTTTAGTGAAAAAACTATTCTAATACATTCAGTAGTTTCCTCCTACTTTACTTAATTATAGAACTCACTTTTCCCACATAAAAATAGATTTATTTTTATAATACTGTTAACTTATGTGGTTATTGGTAAAATGTGATTCTAACTGAGAATCATTAACAAGGACATATTAACTTAAAAATCATTATCAGTGTAGTTTCATGTTAGTGAATGTTTGGGACTCACTTTGTGATGAGTGTCTAGTAATTCTCATGATCCTGTATGTTTCAGAGAGCATATGTCAAGGGAAATGCCAAAGTAGAGCATAAAGGATTCTATTTCAGTGGCTGTTTTACCATTTTAAATAAAAAGTTGGCTCACTTGAAAAAATACATGAATTATAATAACCAGTCAGTTCCTTCTTTTTTTTTAACATTTATTTTATTTATTTGAAAGGCAGTGTTACCTAGAGAGAGGGAGGGAAAGAGAGAGAGGGATCTTTTGTTTGCTGGTTCACTCCTAAATGACCACAATGGCCAGGCCTGGGCCAGGCAGAAGCCAGGAGCTTCTTCTGGATCTCCCATATGAGTGCAGAGGCTCATGGACTCAAGCTATCTTCTGCTGCTTTTGAAGTCCTCCTGTTGGTTCAGCATTGTGGTACTATGGGTTAAGCTGATACCTTTGATGGTGGCATCTATCCCTTATAAGCATTGGTTTGAGTCTCAGCTGTTGCGCTTCCAATCCAGCATCCTGCTATTGTGCCTGGGAAAGCAGTTGAGGATGGAGAACAGCCCGACTTCTTGGGTCCCACCACCTACATGGGAGACACCAGATGGAGTTTCAGGCTCGTGGCTTTGACCTGGCCATTGCTGCCATCTGGGGAGTGAACCAGTGGATGGAAGATCTTTCTCTCTGGCATGCTGCCTTTCAAATAAATAAATTTTTTTCTTTCTAAAGATTTATTTATTTGAAAGTCAGAGTGCCAGAGAGAGAAAGAGAATCTTCCATCTGCTGATTCACATCCCGGATGGGTGCAATGGCCAGGGTTGGGCCAGATTGAAGCCATGAGCCAGAAGCTTCATCCAGGTCTTCCACGTGGGTGGCTGGGGCCTAGACACTTAGGTCATCCTCTACTGCTTTTCCCAGGCTATTTACTGGTGTCCCTGTAGTATGCCCATGTCACAGGTAGTGGCTTTTCCTGCTACACCACAATGCCAGCACCTAAATAAATAAATCTTCAAAAAAGAAATTAAAATTTCTCCTGTAGTATTGTGCTCTCAAGTACAAGCCTTTTAAAAAATCTTTTGATGGGGTTGTAGTGTTCTTCTGAAGCTTGGATTTTAATACTGTTAATTTTGGTTGATCCTCTGGTTCTTACCTTGCAAGGTTACAAAAGGAAAGTTAACTCTGCTTACCTCTTTATTATAGTTAGATTTATGCAAACATAACTACCATTTAACACTGTTTGCTTAGCCTAGAATTTACTACATTCTTAATATCTTGTTCTGCCTTCTATTAGCTCCAACCACAGTGAATGTAACACATCGTCCAGCTACTCAGGTGACCACAAGACTCCCTGTACCAAGAGCTCCTGGAAACCAACAAGTGGTTTATACAACTCTTCCAGCACCACCAGCTCAGGCGCCCCTGCGAGGAACTGTTATGCAGGCTCCTGCTGTTAGGCAGGTCAATCCCCAAAATAGTAAGTGACACTCCTTTTTGGGGGGCAAATGGCCCCAAAGTATATATATACCTGTTTAACTTTTAGTTGGAATTGTTTATATTGATACTAGATTTTGCAAGAAGTACTTGTAATTTCATGAAAGCTGTTAAAATTTAAGAGAGCTGTTGTACAACCTGGTTATTACATAGTTAACAGGAATGTAATGTTTCCTTGAAAACGACTGATAGAGTAGGTAGAAAATGACTTATGTGAGGTAACACATATGTTATTTAACGTGATTTACACATTCCACAATGTATATTTATTTCAAAACATAATGTATAGTAAGTATATGCTTTTTATCAGAAATCAGTTTTAAAAAGAAATGACAATAGAATAACCAAAGAAAACTGAACATTCATGCTAAATGAGTTTGACTCTGTGTTGTTTTCATTTTATTTATGACCTGTACTATCACATTACCTTTTTAAAAATTTTTTTAAGATTTATTTATTTATTTGAAAGTTAGACTTACAGTGAGAGGAGGTATATTGAGAGAGAGCAAGTGATCTTCCATCTGCTGGTTCACTCCCCAAATGGCCACAGCAATTGCAGCTGGGCCAGCCCAAAGCCAGGAGCTAGGAGCTTCTTGCCACATAGGTGGCAGGGGCCCACAAACTTGGGCCATCCTCCACTGCTTTCCCAGGCGCCTTAGCAGAGAGCTAGGTTGGAATTGGAGTAACCAGGACTAAAACAAGCACCCACATGGGATGCCAGCACTACAGGCAGAGGCTTAACCTGTTGCGCTACAGCGCCAGCCCTCCATTACCTTTTTTTGATGTTCTGTACTTTAGTGTGTTTAGATGATACCCTACCTGATTAAAGTGAGAATGATCAATTTTGACTTAGCCCAGGGAGTAGATATCATAAAAAAGGATAGCCTCTATTGAGAGAGCATCTTAAAGTATAGAAGATGACTGAAAAGAAGGGAAAATATTAATGGAAACTTCTAGTTTTCTACATATATATTAGTTATTAGTTGTAATAGTTACAAATTACATATGTAGCTATTATATTAACATGGTATAGATATGTTGGTAGTAGAATATAAGTGTATCATGTATACTGGAGTTTATATAAAAGGTATATTTAACTCTTAAAGAAAAATAATAAAATGAACCACCTATGAACTCTCCTCTACCAGGTTAAGAAATAGAACTTTATCAGTATCCTGCAAGTGCTGCCATATGCCTTTCCCTTTACATCAGAGGTGACTACCATCCTTACTTTTCTGTTAGTCATTCTGTTTTTGTTTTGACACCAGTGTAGGTATCCCTGATGTTATGTATTTTATACATATATATGCACAAAGAGAGAGAGAGACAATAACTTAGTTTTGAAAATTAAATATCAAGAATGCGTCACTGTTTTAAAAAACACTGCAGTAATGCCACTATTAGATGACAGCTTCTGGGGCTGGTGCTGTGGCATAGCAGGTAAAGCCTCTGCCTGTAGTGTTGGCATCCTATTGTGGGTGCTGGTTCAAGTCCCAGCTGCTCCCCTTCTGATCCAGCTCTCTGCTGTGGCCACGGAAAGAGCAGATGACCCAAGTCCTTGGGCCTTTGCACCCACATGGGAGACCCGGAAGAAGCTTCTGGTTTGGGATCATCCCAACTCGTCATTGTGGCCACTTGTGGAGTGAACCAACACATGGAAGACCTCTTTCTCCCTACCTCTACCTATGTAACTCTGCCTTTCAAATAAATAAATAAATAAATCTTAATGGTAGAGTTAGAAACATACCAGGGGACTCCAATTTAATCCCATCAAGGTGGCATGTACCAATGCCATCTCACTAGTCCAAGTGATCAATTTCAGTTCACAGTTGATCATAATGAAAGGACTAAGAGTCAAAGGGAGCACATAAACAAGTCTAGTACCTGCTAATACTAACCTATAGAATAAATAAAGGGGAGAGTGATCCAACATGGGAAGCAAGATACTCAGCAGACTCATAGAATGACGGATGTCCTAAACAGCACTCTGGCCTCAGAATCAGCCCTAAAGGCACTCGGATCTGGCTGAAAAGCCCATGAGAGTATTTCAGGCATGGAAAGCCAAGACACTCTGGCAAAAGATCTCTGTGAGTGAGATCCCAGTGGAAAGAACAGGTCTTCAAAGAAGGAGGTACCTTTCTCTGAAGGGAGGAGAGAACCTCCACTTTGCCTATGACCTTGTCTAAACAAGGTAAGAGTCGGAGAACTCAAGGGGCTTCCATAGCCTTGGAAACTCATGACTGGTGCATAGGGAGATTACTGATGCCATAAACAGGAGTGTCAATTTGTAAAGTCAACAACAGGAGTCACTGTGCACTTACTCCTCATGTAGGATCTCTGTCCTTAATGTGCTGTACATTGAGACTTAATGCTATAACGAGTACTCAAACAGTACATTTCACTTTGTGTTTCTATGGGGGTGCAAACTGTTGAAATCTTTACTTAATGTATACTAAACTGATCTTCTGTAAAAAAAAAAAAAAAGAAATTATCAATTCCCAACTTGACTCTCACTGGGATTAAACATGACAGTAGGTCTGATCTGATTTCATCATCATTTAAAAAATCATCTATTATTTTTCACTTTATGTTTCTGTGTGGGAGCAAACTGTTGAAATCTTTACTTAATGTATGCTAAACTGATCTTCTGTATATAAAGAGAATCGAAAATGAATCCTCATGTGAATGGAAGGGGAGAGGGAGTGGGAAAGGGGAGGGTTGCGGGTGGGAGGGACGTTATGGGGGGGAAGCCATTGTAATCCATAAGCCGTACTTTGGAAATTTATATTCATTAAATAAAAGTTAAAAAAATAAAAATTAAAATTAAAAATAAATTTAAAAAAAAAAGCTTCCAGGAGAAAATAGAGTCTCTGAACATAGACTGGCTTCAACATTCTCAATTTTACAACAGCCTTCTCTGATAGTCATTTGACAGGGTCATGAATGAGTTTTGGAAAACAAGGTTCTGCATAGTCAGGGCAACTGGCAGAACTGTAGTATGGAGCAGTTATGGAATACAAGGAAGGAACACAGTGGGGACAGTATGTTCGTGTAAATTTTCTGTTCCTTTTGTGCTGGTGTGTATCCTAACAGTTTTCTCTGAGGTGTGAAGTGTTTCTTCAACTGATCAGAAGGGTGTGGAGGGAGAGACACACAAGGCAAGGATGACTAGCCTGAACTTTCTATCCTGGTTGAAAATATGAGACAGTAGGGATCTTTTTGGAGACAGCTTCAATTTGTTTTTGGGTATCAGCATCTGGGCTGTTTGCCTTCTGTCTACGTGTTGTGTACCACATTGGTATTCATAAAAATACTGAAATTTTTGCTCATAGTCCTCTTGGCTAACATGCATTTATTTCTCTGTGCTGGATCTCCTGTTTCTTGTATCTCCTGTTTTCCTTTATTTTCACCTTCTCTCTCACTGGGAAAACACACTTAGTGGCTACTTGAGAAAGGGTGGAAGTGCATGCATGTATGAAAATGTCTTTATCCTCATGCCCAAAAAATGGTTTGGCCAAGTGTGGACCTCTAGGTTAGAAATATTTTTCCTTGTAAATTTAAAAAATACTGCTTCACTGACTTCAAGTGTTTAATCAGTGTTGTACCAAAATTTGCAGTGAAATTGATTTTTGTCTACAAATTTTCTTTTATAGGTGTTACAGTTCGAGTGCCTCAAACAACCACATATGTTGTAAACAGTGGCCTGACCCTGGGATCAACAGGACCTCAGCTCACCGTGCATCATCGACCACCACAAGTGCATACTGTAAGTATTGATGCCTGGCTTTACAGAATTCTGAACTGTAAAGCTGGCAAATGTTATAGTAGTTTGTAATATTGAAATGATAGCTCTGCTTTTTCACCTTACCACTATGAAGAAATGTCACCTAGGGGTCACCCTAGGGGGTGATGATCATTGAGTGTGCTGTAGTGTGCAGTGTCCAAAAACAGGTTTGTAACTGGAGCATCTGAAGCGAAAGAGACCCTCACTAATTAATCCAGTGGTATTGGGATTCATTTGTTAAGAGATAAGAAAACCAAAGATTTCTTCTTAGATTTAGCCTCAAACAGTATTGCATTATCCTGTGGCCTGATTGTGACAAGATTTATGTGTCAAAACAAAAATGCTGCCCTTCCTTTCTCTCTTTCACTGTCCACTCTGCCTGTTTAAAAAAAAAAAAAAAAAAGTGCTGTCTTTATGAGAGGGAAGAGTGGGGACTGAGGCTGATACTATTATCTAGTAAAACATCCTTTCTAAAATACTCATAATAATGGCTTGCATTTATTGTTTACCATGAACCAAGCACTGTTAATATACTTGATCCTCTTGTAGAAGTCCTTTAAGGACTTTTGCTATCCTTTTTAAAAATCCTTTTTTATAAATTGGTAGCTAATGCTTACAGAGGTTGAGCAAACCAATGTCATACTTCCCAAGAACCCCTGCATTACAGTTCTGACACCTGTGCTTTTAGCTGTTTTTATTACTCCTCAACATGAAAAATTAATATTACTAATGGAACACTTGATCTATTCAAGAACTCAAAGTATTTTACATGTATTTAATTTTCACAATCCTGAGTGTTATTATATAGAAATATGTGTGACACGGATGTTAATGGTTGTTCAGTGTCATTACCCAGTTGTTCAGAAACTTAAAATGGAATTTCCATACAAGTGAATGAGATAGCTGTTCCTGTATGCCTAGTGTCTAGTTTAAACTCTTACCAGCACATGACCAATCTTACCTATGCAACGCTTGACTAATTTAAATTAAGCAAATCTCTGGCATCTTATATGTAAAACTTCAGTAAAAAACCCTCATTGTGGCAAAAAGCAAAGAACACCATATACGATTTAACTGGTTTGTGAGTATGAGCAGATTCCAAATCCTAATATTTTAAGAATTAGAGGGACTATTAAATGTCATTTAAACTATTGTCAAACACTTTGATCTTCTGCACTCCCTCTACTCTTAAATTCATGGCTTCAGCCAGCTTGTCTTAGATATTGCTAGCTATATGTTTAATGTTACTTACATCATTTTAGAAAAAAATTAGGATATATAGCACCATGGCCAGTATTCAATCAGTTCTGCTTTACCTTCTATGTTTTATCTAATTAAATGCGGGTTTTTTTTCTGTAATTTTACTTTTTAACTGTGAATTGTACCCTTTTCCAAACATGCTCCTGTTTTCCTTTATTTTCACCTTCTAGCATTTTAGTGCTAGATTTGAAATCTTTGAAATTATTCAGCATATCCTTTTTGTTTTCTTAATATGCAGAACCACTACTACTGACCTTTAGGAAAGTATAGAGATTTTAAAAAGTGTCATCTTACAGAATTTACTTCTTAGTTTATATGAATCATCTACTTAATGCCATATAAGAACAATTTTTGTTAAATGAATTTGTTAAAGAAATACTGTTTTATGGCTTCTAATATAAAGTCAGTGAACAAAGACATGTTCCTCTTAAATAATCCCTCATGTCCCTACTCTGGCTCTCTAAAATCTCTTGACGAAATTGTCCGTATCATCTTAAAACCTAAGTATAATAATGATAATTTTATATTTGTATGATGTTCCAGTGTTAGACAAGTCAGTAGGGCTTCCTAAGGTTGCTCGCGGACGTTTTCATTGTCTAACCTTAAATCTACCTTCCCAGGTTTATCTTAGACTGTTCTTCATAAACCCTGTATTCAAAGAAAAGTTCACACTTGTTCTTGTCTGTCCCCTCACTTTCCTATCCCTGGGCTTTCGCTCATGCTTTTCCTAGTGACTCTGAAAGGTACATAATTATCTTTACATCTCTAAAGTCTTTCATGGTCCAAATTAAATATCACTTTCTGCTTGTAAGCTAAGACTGTTGTACACATTCAGCATTAAATTATTTATAAGAATTTGCCACTGTCTATATGGCAAAACAGTTTAGAAATCAAAGTATAGTTGTATACTCTAATTTCATGTAATAGGTTGCCACTCATTTAAAAAATGTTACAGCATACTGAGAATCTGTAGCATAGACAAATTGTAAATTATTTTGTGTAAGGGGATTATTTCTACCTGTATCTACAGTGTCTATCTAGAAGAACTCGGTATTTTTGGTTTAGGAAGTATAGGAGTGAATTCAGCACCATTTTTTGGGGCATGATTGATTACAAATCACCAAACAGAGCTTGCTAAACTTTATATGGTATTTGGTATTTCCCAGAATTCATGATGTAAGCAGCTCTCTTTATGATCTCTAAGGTATCTGAGTTCGAGCATTCTAAAGTAGTTCTGTGATCATTGTAAATCAATGTAAATCTTTTGTTAGGAGCCCCCACGCCCTGTGCACCCAGCACCCTTACCAGAAGCCCCACAACCACAGCGTCTGCCCCCAGAAGCTGCCAGCACATCTCTGCCTCAGAAGCCACACTTGAAATTAGCACGAGTTCAGAGTCAAAATGGCATTGTACTGTCATGGAGTGTCCTGGAGGTGGATCGAAGCTGTGCCACTGTTGATAGCTACCATCTCTATGCTTACCATGAGGAACCCAGTGCCACTGTGCCCTCACAATGGAAAAAGATTGGGGAGGTAAAGGCACTTCCCTTGCCCATGGCATGTACTCTCACCCAGTTTGTATCTGGCAGCAAGTACTACTTTGCAGTACGGGCCAAGGATATTTATGGACGTTTTGGACCATTCTGTGATCCACAGTCAACGGATGTGATCTCTTCTTCCCAGAGCAGTTAAACCTTGGAGCCTTTATCTCTTCTTCTTTGAAAAGTTCCACTTTTTGGTCTTGTTTTTAATCTTGTGCATGATAACCAATGTAAAATCCACATTGTGCAAGATTTCTTGGAACAGATGTAATACACTACATTTGTTTATAACCAGAAGTGAAATAAACTCAGCCCATAAAGCAAGAATCTTTTCCTGGACAATTCAAGCTTCAGGGTTTTGAAATGTAAATGTGTACCTTGCTTTAATTTTGAGGTTGGGGAATATGTATGTGTTCGTGTTCTGTGTTTTTTCTCTATTTATATGTTCATTGCAATGGATTGCCCATTTTCATTCTCAAATTTACCTCTATTCCAGTATGAAGTAGATCACAGGATCTGAGGTATGTAACTGGCATGATTCTACTGCTGACAGATGTGTAGGATCAAAGTTAAATGATTTAAATACAGTGTAAACAAAACCCAAAGAAAAAAGCAAAACAGCTAAATAATTTAAAGTAGGTTAATTTGAACACAGCAAAGGATCTATTCATCTTCTTTCTGGCTTGTTAATTAGTAAAATAAGATCTACAGTGGCTCCTTCCTTTCCTGTTTTTTGCATTTATTTTGTGCCTTAACGATTAATTGCAAAATTAGATATGGCCGTATGTCCATTCTTCCTTTCCTGTTTTTTTACCCAGTTCTCCTTTATCTCCACCAAATACAGTGCATGCACACACACACACCCATAAGAAAATTTTCAGCAAAGGCCTTCGTATATAATCTATTACTCATTTGTGGCATTGCTAAAATATTTACTTGCTGTTTTCTTCTAAGAATATAGATACTTTTATTTTTGGCCACAATTTTAATTCTGTTAAAATGACCAAGAAAAAACTATGTTGTGGAAGAAAATTCTCCAGACGTACTTTGGTATCTGTGTTACACACTGTGTTGATGTTATGGAAGCAACTCTTGTTCACTTTATCACCCAAAGTGTAATACTCTTTAAAGAAAGCAAATAGTAAAATTCACAAAATACAGTGAGCTAAAATAATCAAGGGGAAAACTCCTTTCCCCTTTTACATCACCCTGTCTTAACCTTTATTTGATGGTGCCATATTGAGTCTGATTTAGCTGATTGGCTAGAATTTAAAGTATATCCTTTGAGATTATATAAAAACATAACTTGTGTATATCTCCATTCCTCTCAGAGTTCATAAAATTCAGCATAGGTCATGGAATTGCAATATGAGTGTCGGTTGTACTTGTGTCAGGTTGTTGTTTTGAGTGTAGTTTAGGACAAGAAAGCTAAGTTTTTGGGATGAGAGTATGGTTGCATATTTTGAAAGAAATTTGCAGTTTGTGAAGTAGCTTTTCAAGTCCTCTTCCTCTAGTTTTTCAACTCATATTTCTGTGCTCTCAAATTGGTCATTTTCCCACTTCATGTTATAGAAAGGGGCTATCCCTTTTGTTAGTGGTGTTTTATCTACTTGTAAAAAATGTTTAGATGCTTTTCAGTGGCCAGTGTGCTGTCAACTGAGAAATGGGGATTGATAATGAAAAAAGCCTACAGATTGCCAAAATGTATATGCTCCAAACCTTCCTTTCTCAGAAAATGAGACCACAGTGAGAATTCAGGTTTCCCATGAATTGCATTTGCCAATCAGTAATGCAGATATTACACATTATACAACTACTGATAGTAAAGTTGCCAGTGTCATAAAATTTTAAAAAGGAGAAATTGATGGTCTTAGATGTTTATGATCACCTATTTGCATGTGTATTATGTTTTTACCAGCAGTGGTTGCAGTGTTATGATCATTCTTGCCTACAGAAGAGAAAGCCTGTTTTCAAAATTGTTTTTTTATTGGCCAGTTTTAAGTTATATGGTAACAAGTTACCTATCTACCCTACAAAACTTTTGATGAACGTTTTCACTATACTCATTAGTCTTTTTTTTTAAAGCTTTTATAGCATCATATACATATTATCAAGTGAAGAAAAGATTAATAGAATGAAGATCTCATTATTGTCAGTCTTCTGTCAAAAGAAATTCTCAGTTAACCCTAGAAGATGTACTACAATAACAGAATTACAAAGAGAATGTAATGGTTAAGGAAAAAATATGTAAGATGGTGTCCTCAAAATAGCCTGTTGATGAGGGCAATAACAGTTGGATTTACTGAAAGGTACTAGGCTAGAATAGCGCTAGGTTGGCTTTTATTTGGAGGTTTTAATATTGAGTGCTTTTTGTCTATTTCATTTCTGATGGGAGAGAATGGAGGATTCAGTTAGAAATTACTACTGATGACATTTTAGTAGCAGTTCACACTCCGTGGTTATCTTTTTTTAGTTTATGGTACCTTTTCATGAAGTATTATGAATAAGCTAAATTATCCCATTTGGGGAATGCAAGTTTGCTACATTTTTAGCCTGATAATACTTCTGTAGGTATTGCCTTATTGGAAATCCTGGAAGCTTCTGATATTTCAACCTGGAATATAAGATGTTTATATGGCATTTAAAGGTAACAGTGATGTTTGTTACTCTCTACTTTGCACTTTGTCAGAGTAAATTTCACCCTGTTTTAAGTGTGAGTAAGCCTCTTTTTGAAATTACGTTGTTGGATTTATAAATTACATACAAAGACAACGTGCTGTTAACAGTTTGAGGTAACTATTTTTTCTTTCTCTGGACTCACCTTTTAAAATATGCAGAATACTGTGTATTATTTAACATAGTATATATAACTATCAGAGAAGTGGAGAGCTTTCCTCCCTGAGTGAAGAATATTGATTGGGAAACCATTTGCCTCACAGAGAGGTAGTCCCCACTCTCCTTTTCATTCTTAGCAGGTAAGAAGTACCTTGAAAACAGTGAGCTAAACGGAGAAGCTTAGGGTCTTAACCTAGGTGCTTCTCTGCAGAAGTCTTTAAAAGCAGGCTGCACCATTGAATTTCCTTACTGCATTGGAGAAGTATTAACTTAGTTTTTGTTGTTTGCTCTTTTACTTTAAATAATTTCTGAATTATCATTTACTCAGCAAGGCTAGTGTTACTATTGCATGATATGCATTTATCTCATCCCATAAGTTCTCCAGTACTGTATAATTGTATAAGATCAACAAAATAATGCCTGTGGTATCCTCACTCAGCACAGTGGGGTACTGCAAAACTTCTGAATGTGTTCCGATTGAACTTCTTGGGCCATTGTAGTATCTTCAGTATCCCATGTTTTTTGGTTCTTGCTGTTTTATTGTTGACCCATGGCTGGCCTGTTTTCTGATTTCCAGAGAAACCATGTCCCAGTAATACATTATTGCAGATAACTGTCTAAAACTAGTGTATGATTCTGCCTTCCTCACTTTTTACTGGGCATACACACACACCAAAAAGCAGAACAAGTCTCATGGTGTTCCTTGGCATGGCAGATTTATGTAATTCTGAAATATTCATCCCCTTGAGCCAGCCAGTGGGGAGGAATAGAATAATACAAATGTATTGTTTTTTCTTCAGATGACTTTATCATGTTAAAATAAGCTTTTGTTGTTTTATTTGTAGAGTCAGCTAAGTACCTATCATTTATATTTAAATGTTATCCTTTTATTCTGTGAGGGTTGGGTTTTTTTGTTTTCTTTTTGATGTGATTGTTTTTGTAAATAGGGTAACTGGGCAATCAAACACCTTTTGGGGATCCTGGCTTTAGTATTTTATTAGTCATTTCAAGACTAAATATTAAAATAAACCCTTTGTAGGAAACTTGCATCCTGATTTTTCTTTATTGCAAAGTGTAAATAGTAAGACAATGTAAGACCTTCCTAATGTCTAATATAAACTGGGCATGTTGCCCTATTTTTATTAGGTCTTGAAGGTTTTTGTGGGTAATTTTTTTCTTTTTAAATGTATAGTCAAGTGCTGTCTGTGTAAATGTTAACTGTAGTGGGGTTTTGTCCGGCAAGCCTGAAATTTATACTTTGAAATAAACAACTGGGTTTTTTAACATTCTGAGTACTCTGATTATTCTCAGCCCTTGTGGTTTTTTTTTAAGTCTTCTACCTTTTTAGATGCCCCATTATGTATTGTGCATTATGGCTTATTCACTAAGTAACACATAATTCTTCAGCTTTGAAAGAAAAATTGCCATGCAGTGTTGCTTCCAGATCGGATATGCTGCCTTTCATGAACAGGAGACAACTTTGAGGTTTATACTGTGTGCCCAAGCTTGCACCACAAAACGCTGGACTGATGCCTGTTTATGACCAGAAAATCTACTACCTGTGTTTGTCAGAGGTGTTTTTGAAACCACAGCTGCACCACGGCCTCAGAATTTGTCATTAAGAGCCTGAGAGGAGTACCGGTCCTTGTGACCTGGAAGTGGCACTCATCAGTCCTGTGAAACAGCTGTTTAAGGGACTCTGGGCATAGGTGGTCAGTGTTAAAGGCATGAAAGGAAAATGCAAACTTTGGCAAGTAGGGAGCAGTTTTTGTCATACCTTCTTATCTATCTAGTGCTGAAGCCTACTTTGTCATGCAGGGGAACTTAAAAGTTCATGAAAAATGGAATTAACAGATGAATCTGTTGGGGTGCATAATATTTTTGACATCTAAGCATATTTTTTTTCATAACATTTTTCTATACCCATTTTCATGAACTTTTTGAAGAGGTCTCATATATGTGATTTCAAAATATTTTTTGTGCCAAAGTAAACTAACTCTTTAATACTATTTTCTAAGAACTTTTTGAAATAACCCCTTATATAATGTTTAGTCTTTTACAGTTCTGTGCCCTACAGGAAATGCTTGCTGTTGAACAATCAGGGCAGACAATTGGCCCTAATGGCTAAAACACTCGTGGTTCCACATTGGAGCACACCGGGGTTAATTCCACCTCCCACTCTGGCTCCCAATTCCAGCCTCTCCAGGGCAGACCCTGGGAAGCAGCAATGATGGGCAAAGTAATTGATTCCTGCCACCAAGTGAGAGACCTGGGTTAACTTCCAGGCTGTTGTGAGCATTTAGGGTGCACCAGTGAAAGGAGCGCTCTCTGGATACCTTTACTTTGCGGGGGGAGGGGGAAAAATTAAAGTGACAAACTAAATTTAATGTATTTTATTAAGAGTGATTCTAACAGGAAAAACATAGTAAAATAGTGCCTTTGGTATCTTACTTGCGGCCTTCTATTTCCTTATGTTCCCTCATCTTCATCCTCCCTCATCTTTTGTCAAGTTTCAAAATTGGTTTTGTTGTAATAAAATCAAAGTTGTAGACCTCTGGCATGCCTTGATGGAGGGTTTTGTTGAATCTGTTCCAATGAAAAACAGGGAGGCCACCTTGTACTGTGGGACCACTAATGGCATAAGCTGTGTACCGGGATGCTAAGTAGATATCTGATACCTGGAAAGAAAGAGAAGACATTTTAAACTACTTGGAAGAAACTTCACACAATTCCTGCACCCTACCTCACTCCTGTCTTTCCAAAATCCCAGTATGAGCCTCCTTTAAATAAAATTCTCATGCAAGCTACTGCGTATCTTTATGTGACATTCTCACCTGTATCCATTTGGCATTTAAATGTAACTAGTAGAAGTGTGCTTAGTTCCCTGGGTCTCAGAAACAACCATGGCATAACAGTGGGTCTTGTCTTAGAAGGGAAAGGAAATCTGGAAGTATATCCTTCTACAGAAACTTGTGATCCAAAAAAATGACAGACCCTGTCTCCAAAGGTGAAATTTGGTAGATGAAAGCTTGGCTTGGGTTCTCCTGGGCAAGGCAAGAGAGGTGATTTTCTTTGCATATTCTACAATGTCTATGAGGGGTCTTCAAAGAGTTAATGGAAAATATGTATTACGAGGGAACTATGAATGGATTTCAACTTTATCTTGCCCCCAGATAAGAAAGTTCACAGAATGGAATTAAGATTAAGTACCATTTTTCACACATTTTGCTGAATGTTTGCAAATGCCATTAAAAAAAAAAAAATACCAAAACATTGTTTGAGGTTTTACATGTGCCTGGTTCTCTAAAGCCTTCTTTTTCTCTTTGTATTACATGATATATGGTCATTAAGGGTAAAGTTTGGCCATCATCACATAGCTAGAAAGTAGGTTGCATTGGAACTCAGTAGTTGAGTCTGGGCTGGCGCCGCGGCTCACTTGGCTAATCCTCCACCTGCGGCGCCAGCACCCCGAGTTGTAGTCCCGGTTGGGGCGCCGGATTCTGTCCCGGTTGCTCCTCTTCCAGGCCAGCTCTCTGCTGTGGCCCTAGAAGGCAGTGGAGGATGGCCCAAGTGCTTGGGCCCTGCACCCACGTGGGAGACCAGGAGGAAGCACCTGTCTCCTGGCTTCGGATCGGCGCAGCGCACCAGCCGCAGCAGCCATTTTGGGGGTGAACCAATGGAAGGAAGACTTTTCTCTCTCTAACTCTGCCTGTCAAAAAAAAAAGTTGTCTGTTCCATCTCCTATTTAGTTATCACAGTGAGACAATACTATATAGTTGGTGTTGGCATTTCTCCAAAACAGTTCACGCTTCAAAGATTTTCAGAATGTAGGACAGGCGATATAAATGAAGACACCTGCCAACCACATTGCTAAGTTGAACCCCTGAACTTCTCACAGCCCGTGGTGTGCAGGTAAGTGTTTAGTAACCAGCTGAGAAAAAATGCCCCGATTTGTAGTGTTTACTGGTTTCCATGGTGTCAGTACTCCCACTGTGGATGGTTTCAAGCTATTGACGTGATGTTAACTGACTTAACAGTTGGTTCTTACCTGCCCATATGTGGTGGCTTCATTATACCTCTGCAGACCTACTTATTACTTGTAATAGTGTGAGATATGTTACAGCACTTAACATTGTTTAAACAAAAAAACTGCAGCTTGCCTTCAAGAGACCTGTGTGCTGGTGAAAATTAAATTCAAACGTGAGTAGCTTGTTACCTTCGTGTCATAGCAGCCACCGGGAGTTGGGGTAGGTGAGTTGAGGTCCTCACGGCAGCATATGGTTCTGCAGGGATCACCCTGGCTGTAAGGATCTTTCTGATAATCTAGGAAGAAGAGTAACGGGAAAAGCATGAGTGTTGGCTATTCTGAGATACACTTAGCCACAGTAGTGATTTTTTGGACGTGTTAAAGACTAGATAATCAGAGAGTGTACCCCTACAGGCCTCAGCCCAGCCCGCTGCCAGATACAGACGTCTCCCTTGGCTCATTCCTAGGATGGAACAACAGCAAGTTCTCTGTCCCAGACCCAGCCTGCCTCAGGAACCTCGCACAGTGAAGCATAGATGGAAGAAAGATAATAGAAGATAAATATTCAAGTTTTTCCAACAAAAATACCAATTTGAAATTGATACTTTATCAAAAATAAAGCACTTATGAATAATTTTTGCTTTATTAGCTGTTTTGTCTGTGACACCTGTGTTTTGGAGGGGAAAAGGAACCCTGTACAGGTGTTTTTTTTTTTTTTTTTTTGTATTTTATATGAGTTTTTTTGATTCAATGACTAGTAGAAGCTTCTATCATCTTCCAAGGAGGCCAAAATTCTAGTCCAGTATATGTACAGTATTAATTGAATACTAAATACTTAAACAACTTCTTACAATTCCTTCTAGTAGAGAGATGATAAACTTACATGGATTCTTTATCCATGGGGAAGAAAAGGAGTTTTGAAGAATGATTCTTGAGAAATGTGCTACGTACTGTTGTATCGCATGATATATTTCATGGATGCCATATCAGTCACTTTCCCTTGGTCACGTCGGAAGATTTTGGCTCGTGGAGCTAAATCATAAGAGTAGTCCAAACCGAGCTTCTGAACTAACAGTGGGTAGCCACTCCAGTTGTAAACTTTTTCATGGAAAGGAATGTTGTAGGAGGGCCAGTATCCTGATTTGGAATGGAGGGAGACAGAAAAGAGAGGGAACAAAAGTATTAAGTTAATGTAGTTTATTTTGAAAACAGGCAGAAGTCAGTAATTAAATTATAAGGTGATACTGTATGGAAAATAAAGCTTCAAGTGTGGACTTTGGCAGCCAAACTGATCCTTTTGAATTTCCAGGATTTCTTTTACCCCTTGATTATTTCATTAGGGGAGAAGAGCATCAGAATTTAAGCTTTCACCCCCAGATTCTTAAAACTACCTACTAGAAAGTAACCTTATTCTTTATAGAGTCAAATGAACCGTAATGCAAAGGGTCTGGGGAGCTGATGTGAGTGTATTTGTTACTAAAGTGCCACAAGATGGTTCACAACATGGCCCTTAAAGAGATGCAAAGTGCTAATCTTTGAATAAAGAAAACAGCACTGGGAATCATTATACTTAAATTCTAGGATCAGTGCTGAATAACTAGGTCTTAGGTAGTGAACTTCATTTTCTTTAGGGAGAGGGAGGGAAAGTCCATCTTGTGAGGAGACTGGGGATCATCTTAAAGTTCCAGCAGGCTTTTAACTCCCTTGAATAAGCATTCATAAAGGCTCAGTTTCATGTATATTGTCACAGGATGCCAAAGGCTACAGAGTCCATTAATTGTTAAGTGCCAAACAGCACAGCTCAAATACCCTCATCATTTCAGGAATGTCCTACATGACACTGGCCTGGGTTATTGCCTTTGGAACAGTCACATGGGGTCTTCACCATTCAGGGGTTTCCCACCTCCATATTCCCTTGGCCATGTCTGTTTCTCTTCTTTTTACTATTGCATGTAGAACTTGTCAAAAGCAAGGTTGTTAAGAAAAAGCAAAGGACAAGACATTGATGTATCCGATTTTGGGATGCAGAGCCCACATCAGAAGAACTGAAATAAGGATATTGAAATTATAGGGCAAAGTGGGGTTTGTTGCTAGACCACATCTAGGTTATATAGTCTCAAATTAGACTGCCTGGATTTGAACACTAGTTCTGCCACTATTAGGTATATCACCTTGAAAAAATTACTTAACCTCTCTGTATCTGTTTCTTCATCTTTATAATGGAAACAGTGATAAATTCTTTGTCATATTAGGGTAGTT